GGGGGGGGGGCGGTGGTGGGGTGGGCAAGGATTGGGTGCCAAGCCCGGTGACTTCTGCTTTTAAGAGCCAGACTCTGAGGACTGCAGAAGCTTAGACCACACCCAGCAGGTTTTGCCCAGTAATTCCCAGTATGAGCTCCTTTCAGACCTTTTAAGGTTTGCTTAACGACCCAAACCTTTTCTGCCTAGAAGAGATTTCATGCTTCCAGCTGTTCCCTTAGTGAGCTCAGCAGCTGCTGGCACTGACGATGGCTCAGCCAGCATTCATAGCCACTTTTGACCTTTCATTCAAATACAGCTCTTTAGGATTTGATTGATTAGCTCCAGCGAGGAAAAATTAAAACGGCTATAACTCTGGTGCTTGGTGATTGGGAGCATCGTGATGACCCGGATTTGGAGTCTAGCTCTGTGCCGTGTGACCTGCAGGAAGTCACTTAACCTCCTGGAGCCTCCAATTCCTCATCTGAACCACGTGATGAATCCCCCAGAGTGGAGTGAGGCTTAACTAAGATGGCGTTTGCCCCATCTGCGTGCACAGGCAGGAATACCTGGAGGGGCACACAAGAAACTGCCAACAATGTTTGTCCCTTGGGAGGGGCAGCTGGACATCTGTGCAAGTCCTCCTTATTACTAAGATAAGTGTATTCTGAGACATAAGACACGTAGAAGTGTATCCAGCGGATGTACGTTTTAAAGGATGATAATCAAATGAACATCCTATACTCACTTATGCAACCAAAGATAGTATCTTTGAAGCCCTGTGTGTTACATTTTTCAGTTAAAACTAGTTGCTAAATTAAAACGGAGTTGAGGGCTTCCCTGGTGGTGCAGTGGTTAAGAATCTGCCTGCCAACGCAGGGGGCACGGGTTTGAGCCCTGGTCTGGGAAGACCCCACATGCCACGGAGCAACTAATGCCCGCACGCCACAACTACTGAGCCTGTGCTCTAGAGCCCGCGAGCCACAAATACTGAGCCCGCGTGCCACAACTACTGAGGCCCGCGCACCTAGAGCCTGTGCTCCGCAACAAGAGAAGCCACCGCAATGAGAAGCCCAACCGCAACAAAGAGTAGCCCCCGCTCTCAGCAACTAGAGAAAACCCTCATGCAGCAGCGAAGACCCAATGCAGCCAAAAATTAAATAAATGAATAAATTAATTAATTAAAAATAAACAACACTGAGTTGACTTTATGTACTACAATTAAAGCATCACTCAGAGGTCCTGGTCACGTTGAGGAATGCTGGAGGAATCTGAACACGGCCTGCTGCAGAGCGGAGTGTGATGTAAGCCCCTATACCCTGCCACTCGCAGGTTATTCTTGGAAGCACCAGAAGAACACTTTCGTCCTGCCCCATCCCTGCCACGTGCCACATGGACCCCAGAAGAACTGTCTCAGAGAGCTTTCAGCAATATTCAGAATGCAGCCAGGAAACAGCCCCCGTCTCCAGGAGCTTTGGTTTCAGAGAGGCCCTGTGGGTTTCTAGACCCCTTCAGGCCCGCAGGGCCAGGTTAAATGGAGGCTGGACCTGGTTGCTGGCAGAGCTAATGCACAGGCAAGCCTCCTAGCAGCAGGCGATCACTCAGGCTGGATGACTGGGCCCCAAAACAGATGGTTAGCTGACAAGAGAGTGACAGGTAGCTCTGAAGCCAGAGCAAGGCGTATGAATCATGTGTGGGCTCAGGCAACATCTGCCCGGTGAATTCTGAGCCTGAGGAGGTAGGGAGTGCATGCTGTCACAAAGGCCCAGGGCCTCTGCACATCTGGTCTGGTTTTTCCGCGTGGGAGGCTGCGCCCTCTGTCCAGGACCCCGCGATGCCGATCAATGTCAGTTGGTTTGAGGCTGCTTTGTTGATCTCAGGTGCCCTCCCCAGGTTTTCGGACTCTTCTTCATCAGTTCACCTCCCTCTAGGTCCAGGATCAGTGTTTCTTGGGGTGTAAGGCTTAGGCCCCCTGCGCTGCTGGTAGAAATCCAGATTCCTAGGCCCTGCTGCAGACCAAGAGCTCAGAATCTCTGGAGCTTGGGAACATGCTCTCAACCAGCACCCTGGGGATTCTCCTGTGCACGAGAGAGTGATAACCACTGTCCGACAGCCTCTCAGCCTGAGATCAAAACTCAGGAAAGCCCAGCAGGCCAGGCTCCTGAGGAGAACTTTCAGCCAATAAAGCTTGTGGTTCCCCACCTCCAAAAAAAAAAAAAAAACACTCGGGAAAGGAGCCTACAGTGTAAGTCTTGCCAGCCCTTTTCAAATTTTCCCAAATCACTTGGTGACCCATGGCCTAAATAAAAGAAGAACTTGCCAGTGGCTGAATAGAGGAAGTTAAGGCCCACTTCCTACTTTTTATCAAAGCTTAAAAAAGTATCTTTTTGGACCAGCCTTTATTCTGTCTGTGTGTTTCTAGAACTATGGCAGTTTGCCTAGATATCAAAGGGAACTGACAGTGTGGTCTAGATGGAACTAAAAAAAAAAAAAAAAAAAAAAAAAAAAAGGAAAAAAAGGAGTGGTGATTCCTTAAAAAGTTAAGTGTAAAACTACCACATAATCTAGCAAAATCCCACGGAATCCAGCAATACACCCAGAAGAATTAAAAGCAGGGTCTCGAACAGATACTTGTGTATCAATGTTCATAACAGTCTTACAATAGCCAAAAGGTGGAAAAAACACAAATGACCATCAACAGACGAATGGAAAAACCATGTGATCTACCCATGGAATATTATTCAGCCATAAAATGGAATGAAATTCTGACACAGGCTACAACATGGATGGACCTTGAGAACACTAAGCTAAGTGAAATAAGCCAGACACAGAAGAACAAATACTGTATGAGTCCACTTACATGAGGCACCTAGAGTAGTTAAGTTATAGAGACAGAGAGTAGAACAGGGCATGCCTGGGGGTGGGGAGGGAGGAATGGGGAGTTAGTATTTAATGGGCACAGGGTGCACTCTGGGATGATGAGAACGCTCTGGGGATGATGGTGGTGATGGCTGCACAACAATGTGAATGGATTTAATGTCACGGAGCCGTACACTTAAAAATGGTTAAAATTTATGTTATGTGTATTTTACCACAATGAAAAAAAAAAAAAAAAAAAAAGAAAAAAGGAAAGAATGGTATTAAAGTCCTAGAGGGAAATGTAGGTTGCTTGATGGGTCTGGTGTGTAGCTGTCATCCTGGTATCTTTCACTATGACCCTGGGGCCTCTTTACTCTTTGAATGTTGGGTCTCCTGTTTTAGTATCTTCCTTTTTCTTGGTTCATTCCCTCATTTTGGTAGAGTGAGCACCCCCCAATGGCTTTGCCCTCATTTTAGAAGGTATTTGGGGCTGTGAGTTTCTGAGCCTTTCAGGCTTTTGTGATGTAAACCTAGCTGCTTCTTACCTTTTCCCAATCCCGGCTTATACTTCAGTTTATATATTCTCTCAAGTCAGTTCCTGTTCTGAGTCCCGTTACTTCCCAGTTTCCAGAATTTTGTTTTGCCCTTCTTCTCTTTGTGTGGGTTTATGTCTTAATTTTTTTTTTTCTTTTGTTTTAGTACGGTTCGGGGAGGGAGCAAGAATAAATGTGGAGGTCCAGTCTGCCAGCTTTCGCCATCTATTGAGTCCCCTCTTGTAATCACAAGGTTCTCTAAACTCCTTCAGCTTCTTTTTGAACAAAAGGGTTGTGAATGAGTGACTGGATAGAGCATGGACTTGAATGGGCCTCTGGCCTTCGTCCCTTTGGCTTTTCCTGCCAGCCCGAAGCATGCTTTAGCAGAATGGGTTAACATGTCTGATTAATTGTCAGGATCCTTAAAAATGGTTCGGAGAGCGTGGCAAGTACAGTTAACCCTTGAACAACAATGGGGTTAGGGATGCTGACCCTCCCAGCAGTTGAAAATCTGTGTATAATTTGTGTAATTTATAGCTGGCCCTCTGGATCCGTGGTTCCACATTGCAGATTTAACCAACCCCGATCGTGTAGTACCGTAGTGTTTACTATTGAAAAAGAAGTCCACACATAAGTGGGCCCTCACCGTTCAAACCCATGCTGTTCAAGGGTCAACAGCACACTGCAGTGGAGCCCTGCACTTGGACTAGTCTTGTTGGAAAGGGAGGAAGGACTCGAGGCACACGGGAGCAGTGCCCCAGGGGTCCTGTCTTCGAATAGGGAGGCTCCTCCACCCCCTCTGCAGCCCCACTGGGAGCGGGAGCTGAGACCACGCCCCCCTCCAGTCCTCCCCTGGCTCGCGGGCCTGTGGTGGAGGGGGAGCTTCCTGCCCCAGGGTGCTGCCTGGGAGCCTGAGGATCTGCTCCTCCCCCTACAGATTTCTGCATGAATCCCCAGACAGTCCTGCTCCTGCGGGTCATCGCCGCCTTCTGCTTCCTGGGCATCCTGTGTAGTCTCTCCGCCTTCCTTCTGGATGTCTTCGGGCCCAAGCATCCAGCCCTGAAGATCACCCGTCGCTATGCCTTCGCCCACATCCTCACAGGTAAGCTCGGGCTACTCCCAGTCGGGGAGGAACTGCCACAGGGTAGGGGCGGCTGCCTGTCTGGAGTTGCAGGTGGGGGCGAAGGGGTGTCATGAGCAGACACTGTTCCTGATGCTCATTTCAGCTGTGGCCTTTCACAGAGCACTGGCGTGTGAGAGCGGCTTGCTTCCCGTCATTTGCATGTATGCCTGCCAGGGCCACAAACCCACTCGGCTGAGCTGTAGGGAGAGAATATTGTTAGGATTTACATCATGGCTCTCTAAGAACAGGATTTGAAGCTAAGCCAGGCTCATGGGGCCTGGAAGGAGCAAGGGAGGAACTACAGCGTCTCACTGTGTCTCCCTGGAGTACATGGTCTCAGATTCTCTCTCCTCCCCCTTCCCGCTTCCCTGCGGGCCAGGCTTCTCTCCTCCCTCGTGATGGGGCTGCTGTGTTGATTTGACCTAGGGTATCAGCGACTCCAGCACCCAAACTGCACGACCTTGTCTATTCCTCTCGAAGCACCCAATGACTTCTAGCAGCCCTAGTATCCCAATTCCAAATTCTTTTTTTTTTTTTTAATATTTATTTATTTGGCTGCACCGGGTCCTAGTTGTGGCACATGGGATCTTCATTGCCACATGTGGGATCTTTAGTTCTGGCATGTGGAATCTTTAGTTGTGGCATGTGGGATCTTTAGTTGTGGCACACGGGATCTAGTTCCCTGACCAGGGATCAAACCCGGGCCCCCTGCATTGGGAGTGCAGAGTCTTAACCTCTGGACCACCAGGGAAGTCCCCAATTCCAAATTCTTAAGACAGAGAGAATCTAGTTGGCCTGGGTGGGGTCAGGCCTCTGTCCCCCGCCTCGGCCACAAGAGCTCCCCCTTGCAGTGTCTGGGGCCAGGCAGGTTCTCTGAAAATGGGGTTTGGGTAGAGAGACTGCAGTTGATTTCTCAAGCATCCCGGCTGCGGGGTGCCTGCTAACCCCCTTTCTCTGCTGTCCCTCTGTCCCCCAGTCCTGCAGTGTGCCACCGTCATCGGTTTTTCTTACTGGGCTTCTGAACTCATCCTGGCCCAGCAGCAGCAACATAAGAAGTACCACGGCTCCCAGGTTTATGTCACCTTTGCTGTTAGCTTCTACCTGGTGGCAGGCGCGGGCGGGGCCTCAATCCTGGCCACAGCAGCCAACCTCCTGCGCCACTACCCCACGGAGGAAGAGGAGCAGGCGCTGGAGCTGCTCTCGGAGATGCAGGAGAACGAGCCCTACCCGGCAGAGTACGAGGTCATCAACCAGTTCCAGCCGCCTCCGGCCTACACGCCCTAGCGCCAGCCGTGGGCCCTCCTCCTCGGCAGCCCTCCCCGCTCTGCAGCGCCCTCCACACCCAGAGGTGCTCCTTTCCCCAGCAGGCCTCACCGGGAGGATCCTGACCGTCTTCACCAACCTTCCCCGGGAGGGACTCTGCCTTTAGCGTTGTTCATGGATCCCCGCTCTCAAAACCTGGGGTTCACTGGTTTTAGATAATGGCACTGTTTCCCTTCTTTCCACCCCCCTCTCGTTCCACAGTCACTCGTCATTACCAACCAGGGATGGTCGTACACGTTTTCCCCCTTCGTGGGCCCTATCTCTGAGACTGAGACTTTCCTCGGGGAGCTGTTGACAGTGGACGGTCCCCGCTAGAAGAGGCGTCCACGGGGCCCAAGGGAAAGGGGACCGTGCCCTGCGGGCTCTCCTCATAGCTGTTCACGTGTGCCCCACAGCGTAGCTCTGGGTTGAGCCCTGCCCCTGCCCCTTCTGGGAGTGCCCAGTACCGGGCTGCCCGCTCTGTGGAATTCTCTGCACTTTAGTCTTTGGACTGCCTGTCACGTGTGTTCTGGTTCTGCAGGGAGAAGGGGTGGCTGCTGGGAAGCAGAGCACGTGCTCTCCCTGACCCGTCCCTGCCTGGTGGCCAGCGCCCTGGCGTGAGCCTGAGGCCCCCCGGAAAGGATCAGTGTGAAGGGGGCCAAATCTCCCCAGCCCTGTCACCTTTTAAGATGTGAGTGGTTTTAAAAGGGAAAAACAAAACTGAGCAACACCACCAATACTCTCTTTTTAAACTAGCGACAAGACTGTCATCGTCGTCCTTCAGCTATTTATCCCGTCCCTTCTGGCCCTGCCATGTTTGGGGCCCGCAGACCCCTCCAGCCCCTGGTAGTTCCTCCCCGAATCCCTCCTGGCAGAATGCAGCCCTCCTCCCTTGCCCCCTCCTCCCAGTGACCATGGCTCCCTGCGGCCTTCCTGTGGAACCCAGAGCCACATTGGCCTGGCTGGCTGGCCAGCGTGGTGCTCCTCAGGACCGCGGCACTGAGACGTAACCTGGCCTCCGTGCAGGAACAGGGGCTGCAGCAGGGCAGGGAGGCTGCCGCTCTCCATGTAGGAACTGCGACCAGGGGGGCCCTGCTGCATGAGGTGTCAGAACCCCCTGTCAGGCAAGCGGCCGTGGCTGTGCCCTTCAGGCTCAGTGTGTCCCCTAGACTGTGACCTGGGGCAGCAGCTTGCTGCGTGCCGCTCTCCCCTTCTTGAATGTACTCTGGTCTTACAGTGTGCTACTGGCTCTTTCTTGCCCGGCCATCACTCTGGCTGTTCTGTTGGCCACACGTGGCTCTGGATCGGCTGAATTTTCTGCCCTGAGATATGGGGCATAAAGTGGGAGAAACCGGAGAGACCTACGGTGTGGATCCAAATGGCCAAGCTTCTTTGGAATCGGTGTCCAGAGTTAAGCCAAAAAGCAGATGGATCCCCGTGTCCTTCACAGGCGATAGAGTAAGACTGGAGAACGGACACCATTGTTGACCTGTGGCTAGATGGGGACTGTCATGTCCCTTGTCCTTCTTTGGCCAGACTGCCTGAGGATGTCTGGACAGACGCCTGTGTCGGTGGTGAAGGCCATGTCTGCGCCTGAGTGAGCGGCCACGTGGGGTTCACTGTGATGCCAAAGTGTGTCCCATGGTGACTCTCACACTCTTCTAGACTCTTCTCTTAGGCAAGAAAGACTGCCGTGTGATACCTGAGCACAAAGCCAAGGAGCTAAATTAAGTCTTGACTTGCTGTAGAGTCTGAGTTTGGCAGACTTCCAGGGTGCAGCCAGCTCTCTCTGACCCTGGGGGTCTGAGCAGGCGGACCAGGAGACCGGGCACCGAACACGCATGCCAAAGTGACCGGTCGTCTCATGAGGACCCAGACATGACCCTGTGGACCGTTCCACGTGGTTCGGAACCCACTTTTTATTAGCTACCCACGCCTCTGGGCTTTCTTTCTCTTTTCCCCTGCCCTCCTGACACTGATAGTTTGTCATATAAACTCCCTTGGTTGTGTTCCTTTTATTTTCTAGAAAAAAAATTAAAAGCAAAACAAACCAAAAAAAACCCGAAACCACAAATAAGAATGCAAATGCCAATGGCTCCCTGTCCTTTTTCTGTCGCAGCTTCCCTGAGTTGGTTCGTTCCCTTCCTCTTAGAGAGGCAGGAGAAATTGAGGGAGTGTGAACGTAATTTTTTTTTTTTTTTTTTTTTTTTTTTGCGGTCCGCGGGCCTCGCTGCTGTGGCCTCTCCCGTTGCGGAGCACAGGCTCCGGACGCGCAGGCTCAGCGGCCGTGGCTCACGGGCCCAGCCGCTCCGCGGCATGTGGGATCCTCCCGGACCGGGGCGCGAACCCGTGTCCCCTGCATCGGCAGGCGGACTCTCAACCACTGCGCCACCAGGGAAGCCCTGAACGTAATTTTTAAAAAGTTAGAAGGGACTTGAGTGTGCCTGCTGCATGCAAGGCATCTGCACCTAAATGACCCTCCTAATCCTGACAACTTCCGCACCGTGGTCCCGAGGCTGGGAGCCATTGGTGCCTCCACACAGGTCCTTGACTTCAGACCCTGAGCTCTTCCCTCCGCATCCCGTGAGCTGAAGGAGAGAGCGTGGCTTCTGAACTCCAGCCCTTGTGTGGAGAAAAATAGACTTCTGCAGGGCCAGGACTTGCAGAAGCAGCTGCACTTCCTTTTGAAGCCACGGGAAATGATCACTGACTTCCAGGGAGAGGTGTGTGAGTGCAAACGGCTCCAGGAGCGTAACCAACATCAACGCCTCCAGCGGTTACCCACGTTCCCTTCGTCCATTCACACCTTCAGCTGACACGCTGGGCCCCAGTGTGCATCACAGTGAAAGAGCTCAGGGCTCCCTTGGAGGAGCAGCCCACTTGGGTTTCTTTTTTTATTCCCAGAAAGAGTACGTGTCTTTCTCGGGAGCTGGGAATGGGTTTGCTCTCTCATTTCATTTCATTTCAGACATTTACGAAAGGCGCCTTGTGTACAAAGCACCGTTTAGGCACCGTGAGAGAAATGTGATGACCTTCAGGGGCCCTGTCTCCAAAGATTTCATATTCTTAGCCTGGGAGATGGACTCGACCACGGAAAGGTAGAGCGAAGTAAGTGGTCTACTGGACAGCTGGGAAAAGTGCTGCGCCCAGAGGGGAGGCTGGTTCCTACCTCAGGGATTACCAGAGGCTTCCGGGACGAGGCAGCTTAGTGTAAGAAGGTGTTTGGAAGTGGGGTGGGGGGAATTCCTG